TCCCTGCCCCCGGCCTTACTGCAAGGTCCACTCCCTCTGCACTGCCGGATCAGCACAATTTAAAACTCCGGAAGCTGCTCACCACATGGTGGGCAGCTGTCGAGGTACAGCCAGCCCCGGCTCCCCACAGCAGCAGGTCTATCTGCTGGCTTTCCTCCATGTCCCCCGCTGCCGGAGCCCTGAATTTTCTTCCTCCCTGCCCCACAAGCACACCAGCAGCAGTAGCTGACCTTTAGTGCTGCTGCTGCTCAAGAGCCATAGACTGTCAAGACGGCTGAGGGGTAGAAGGACTGTGGGACACAGAATGACGTGATTATGTCATTCTGTTGGCCCACCGGAAATATATATATATATATAGGTTGAGAGAATAGCAACATTAAAAAGAGGTCATAGCCATTTATTTTATTCTGGTGGTTGCATTGTTAATACCGTTTTCTGGCTCCTTTCGAGAGCTAAAAGTCATTCCTTGTGAAAAATAAAACATGAACTTACGTTCACAGGCAAAATAGCTTGTAGGAATATACAAAATAAGCCTTGATCAACTGTGTATGTGGGAAGTCTCACCAAAAGGAGATGAGGAAGGTTCAGAGAAAATGGTAACACAATCAATCTAAACTGTGTTTGAATTTATCACCAAAAACTATAAATACTTTTATGTTTTATACCTAGTTATCTTATTTTATTTATTTTACTGTTTACCACTTAATAATTCAGTTTGATAACTTGTTAAGGTACAAACACTTTTATCCACTTTGTTTATTCACAATGGATGCAATTCTATAAAGAGCTGATTGAGCACCTGCAATTCTCATTACATAAAGAAATAAGCCAACAATCCCAACTCTCTTCAATGAATTGAAAGTTCCCAGCTCCTGCTAGGGTTTGGCACAATACTTACAAAAAAAATAATCACAGATAATGTAAACCAGGATCTATATTTCCTCAAAGTTATTAGATTAAATGGCCCTTCATCTGCGTGCACTTCCTTTTGGTGTGATCCAGCTGTGTGAATGGATGAAGATATGTGGCCTTGAGTACTGAAATTTTCCTAAATGCAATAACCTCTGTCAAGGTTCTCCTTTCTCTAAAGGACAGTAGGGTACGTCTACACTGCACACTTATCTTAGAACTAGCCAATTAGCCCATCATAAGATGGGATTTTCAGGTCTCTCCTCCACTTTGGTCTTCTCTCCTGAGCCTCCGGTCTCTCGTTCCGGCTCCGGCTCTGGCTCTGGTTCTGGTTCTGTCTCTCTCCTCCTCCTACTGCCTCCCTGCCCCTCTCTCAGCTCTCCTCCCCCTCCTGCCTCTCACTCGGCGGACTGCGGAGCCCAAATGGCTGGTTGGGCTCTGCACTCCCGGAGCTGCATGGGGAGCGTGGAGCCCAAACGGTCACTTGCGCCGCTTGCTCCCACGCAGTGGCCCGGCTGAGCAGCGCAGTAGTCAGCCGAGTGCCATAGCGGGAGGTGATACCAAGAGGGAACAGCAAGCATTTCAGGCAACAGCTCCTCCCAGAGGGAACAGCCAGCATTTCAGCGTTACAGACTCACAGACATTGGGCTACTATATATATGATAAGCTATTCCAGAAGAAATCCAAAATAGCTTATTTTAAAATAGCATGTCTACATTACATGGAAGCCTCGAAATTAGTCCGAGGCAGGCTCCTCTAATGTGGATGCGCTACCGAGATTTAGAGCCCCAAGAAGCACTGAGGAGTAATTACTTTAAATGGCCTAGGGGAGGAGCTATTTCAAAATAGAAGCAGTGGAGCATCCGCACTACAGCTGTTTGAAAATAGCTATTTCAGAATAGGTATTATTCCTCATGGAATGAGGTTTACAGAAGTTGGAATAAACCATCAGTTTTTTCAAAATTATTTTGAAATAATGGAAAATTGCTGTGTAGACGTCAGTTATTCCAAAATAATGCTGCTATGTAGATGCACCCTACGGCTACATCTAGACTACAAACCTCTTTTGAAAGAGGCTTTTTCAAAGGATCTTTCAAAAAAGCCTCTTTCAAAAAAGCCTCTTTCAAAAGAGAGCACCTAGACTGCAATTACTTTTCAAATAAGTGAGCTGCTTTTTCAAAAGAGAGCACCCAGGCAGTCTGGATGCTCTCTTTTCAAAAAGCCTGTTTGCATTCAAGAATGCCTTTTTTTGAAAGAGCACTTTCAAAAGAGCTTCTTTCTTGTAAAATGAGGTTTATCGCAGTTGAAAAAACTGCCGTGTTCTTTCGATTTAATTTCAAAACAACTCGGCAGCAGTCTAGACACACGTGAAGTTTTTTCGAAAAAAGGTTACTTTTTTCAAAAAAACCTTGTAGCCTAGACACACCATGTTTTGAGAATATTTATAATATTTCAGAGAATACTGGAGAAGATCTTTAAATCTGATTTACCCACACTTTTCCAATTAATTGCAATGGGAGGCCTGTTCCTAAATCACCTAGTCAGCTTTAAAAATATTAACTACTGTGTTTTAAGTCTTCTAAATCCACTTTGTGTGTGATCTTGCAGTCCTCTCTTGGGCATTATGCTTTCATACGAAAGCAAAATTTGGGCCATCATTTCAGACATTACTTGGTCAGTGTAAACACCTGGAAATCTTTATTTCTGCTTTTCAGATGTTCAGTTTTAAAATGTTTTGTTTTTTATTTACCTAGACCCATACAACAAAACTAATTGTGTGTTTTAAGATGTACAAGAAACACAGGTAAAAGTCCTAAAACGGTGGCCAAATAGGCCCAAGATTCCTTAATCAGGCATCTTGGAGTGAATATCTTTGCATAGATACAGTTTTGCATTTCCAATTGACCTCTAAAGCAAAGTATTTAATTAAAATATGAGAGGACTTGGTCTTGATGTTAGCACAAAGAAGTCTGAAATCATTTTTCCATTGCCAGAAGCTATCACTAAAGTCAATGCCAATTATAATGAAAGAATTAAACAGGTCCAAAGGAATTTGCCAATGAAAATCTCCATAAAATTGTTAGGATGAAGTTTGTTATAAGGTGTTTTGTCATAGCAGTTTTATACATCTGATGTTTCAAGGTCAAATTTCAACTGGCGTAAATTAGTGTAGTTTCCAAAAAAGTCAGTTGAATGATGACAATTTACCACAGCTGGCCCAATGTATACTCACTATTGTATATGTTATAAATATTTAGATATTCCTATTTCTCGTTTTTTGCATTTTTATCTTCTATACCATATTTACAGAACAAATGTCAGTGAAAATATCAAAACAGAAATCAGTACTCAATACTCCCACATAAACAGAATAAATATAATAAAAGAAAAACTCTGAGAATAGTACATTAAAGCAAATAATTAATTGGCTAGATGGTTCTGATATTTAATTATATCACTCTAATATAATTAGATATTAAATCTAGCTCTTCTTATATCTTCTAACTTCACATTTTTAAATATAATTTTTAAAAATAAAAAGATTGTTTGCCTAAATAGGAACAAAAATTACTTTTTTAAATTTATTTTGGAAAATTAGTCTGTGAAATAATCTTCTTAACAATGTATTTCAAATGCCATACATAATGTGCCAGTATTGTAAAACATTCATTGTGATATACATGATCTCCTGACAGATGCCATTTGCTGATTCAGGAAGCAAGGTAACTGGTACAAACTATAATGAAAAGTTTTAAGAACAGTGTCTTTTTCCATTTGTTTGAAATCTTTAATAAAACAACAAGAATCAAAGATCCAGAACTCATATAACTAGAGCCCTATGCAGATACAAAATTGGTATCTACATCCGCATCAGTAAAAATGATTCACGGATATCCACATCCACATCCACGGATGTGGGTTCCTGTGGAAATAAAGCAGATATCTGTGGATTTGCAGGGTTTTACATATAATGCTTTAAATATGATGTCTCTTTTCAACTGAGCCTATATGAAGAATTTTAATGTATACAATGGAGCTAATAACACTAGAATTACAGTTTTATGTCACACATTCTTCCTTCCAAGGAACGCAAAGGGCTAAAACACTCAACGTGCTTCTGAGTTGTCTAGTTTGCACTGTAAAACAACCAGAAATCCAAATCATAGGTCACATGCCAGGCACAGTCACTTCCTGACACATGGTCACTAAAATGCGGAAAACTACATTATAATGATCAACAAAAATAGATGTAATGATGTTTAGTATATGGAAGCTAATTTCTCGATATAAATAAAACAATACATATTTCATGTTCTGAACTAGTACACAAGGAACAGAAGCTGGTATTTCTTTAGAACATTAAAATTCTTGCTATTGTTGAATATATTCTACATCAGACTTACCAAGTGGTGCAATGAAATATACCTGGCTTGATTTGTTCTCATACCAGGAAAAAAAAGGGGGGGGGGGGGGGGAATCCAAATATAAAACTATCCTTTTTGCATTGTTGCCTGCTCCTTCACATTTCTCCATGTCCCATTTTCACTTCAGATATGTACAAAACTAATATATTATAAGAAAAATCTTACAAACAGACGACCAGCTCATAGCAGGAACTTCTTGAAGCCAGTGTTATTCATGCTTAGACTTACATCAAGATATAGATTAATGCTGGACACATTACCTCGACCGTGTCACTGTTTGGCGACTTTGTACTTCTGTCTGTGTCTAATGTTACAGACTACAATTCACTGAGAACAGGAGGATTCATAACTCAAAAAGTGCCTGTTAATTCATCATGAATGTATGCTATAATTTTAGGTTCAGTTAGTATGACTAAAGCCAATTGTTTTAATGCTTTCATAAAAAAGGCAAACTACAAAAGAAAGTCAAATATTACCAAACAAAATCCCCCAAAACAAACGAAAAAACCAATCAACCCTATTTTCCTTACCTTTATGTTCAGGAAATGATGTAAAAACATACCTACCTCACATTATCAGTGCAAAAAGCTCTAAATATATTTGCATAACTCAGACATACTTTAAAGTATACAGATGGAATTAAAAATAAAGAAAATCATGTAATACCTTTACTTTTACCTATGGATTTGATGAAATGGTTCCATGAAGAAAGCATTTCCAGACAAAGAGAGAATAAAGAAGAGGAGAGAAACAACAGTAAGAGTCATGAGCATATGTAAATGCAATAGTATCTGAACATGAAAAGAGAAAGTTTAAAGTAAGTGTTTAAAGACAAATGGAGATGCAATCAGTATCACATTGGGAATTCTGTTTATTTGTTCCAATCATGTACATGCAGAGATACACAGAAATAACCCATGCTTTTTAAAAAGAAAGAGTGACACCGAAGTGACAAACAGTGACAAAGGAAGAGAAAAACATTGATTTGATTGTGTTGCAAAACTGTATTCTCAGCATTCCAGAAGCCAGGAGCAGGTGCTTTCTGCATGTCTCTAATAAGCCATGCATTAATGTAAATGGACTCCTCACTGGGTACAATATGATAAACTGAGTATCTTTTTTTCCGAAGCTATCTGTTCAGTGCTCTTGCGCTTCTTTTGTCTTTAACAGAATCACGCATAATTGTATTTTCTGATAAACACATGGGATTTCTCAATACCTTCTTAGCTCTCACTTTTTTTCATTTATTAACTTGCGAGAGGGAGATGGGGGAGACAGAAGGAACAAAGCTTAAAGAGCAAACTATATATATAAGTATATATATATATATATAATGAAAGAAGAAAGTTGTAACTAAAATTATGTGTTTATTTGCAGCCAAAGACAGCTTTCAAGCATTGCCCATCTTTTGCAGTGATGGATTCAAAGCAGCTACAGAACAAGAAGAAACAATGAAAGCAGAGTGGAAAAGGAACAGAGCCCATACCTTGGTCGCCCATCATCAGGTGCGCCAGACCTTGAAGGGAAACAAGAGCACAGTCAGCAATGAACAAGGGTGCACAGGAAGGTGGTGTTGTCACAGTGACAAAAATGTTTTGTGACAGGCATCTGTTTCCTATGAGATGTCTGTATCACAGAGGGAAATCAGAGAGCATTTTTCAACCACTGGTTGGAATGCTTTGGGGCAAAGTGTAATAGAACTGCAATTCAAACACTGGGAAATGCTGTAGCGTGTGTTTCTGCTAAGTAATAGTTGGAATGAGAAAAATAATAAGAAAATTATTCAAGTCCAACCAATTATTTAAATATTTCATGTATTTGATCACATTGCTTCTAATGCTTTCACCAGGAGGACTTCTTGTCCTCTAGCAGTTAAATTATATTAAAAACCCGGAAAAATGTAAACCTGAAAAATGGGCTGGGTCTGATCTTTTTCCCCTCATCAAAAATGAGCATTTTAGATAGTTAAATAAAATAGCTTCTTTGTTACATTGAGATGATAATGCAAGGAATGTCTCCTTATTTGTGTGAAACATGTGATTGCAGATTGTTTGTTCTAGAGGTAAATTAGCAAACATTCAGTCGAAGATTTTTTTAAAATCAAAGTATTAGCATTTGAAGCTAGAGATCTTTAAAATTTGTGCAAAATAAGGTTGTTCTTCAAATGCATATCTGAGATCATGCTCAGTTAGACTTGTACAGGTCAAGTTGCATTTCCAGTCAAGTGATGTGCAACTTTACTGAGTCCGTCAGGTGTGATTTCTTGAGCCTTCAAGCCAATAATATTCAGTTCTTTAGCCAAACAACAAAAAGGTGCATGCAGTTTCAGAAAGGACATTTTTATACAGAAGAAAAGGCCTAGTACTATATTGAGAGTATATAGCAATAATTTTTCCTTACATTTAAATAATTTCAAATTTTACATTTAATTTTTAAAACAGACTTCTACATAAAATTGGCTTTGCTGGGACTCATTTTTAACTGTATTTATTATTCACACAGAGTAGCTTCAATTTTCAAAGTGCACTCTTCATTTCCAACAACTATAGAAAATAAGGTATATTATTTTCCTGTTTGCAATGATTAAGTTTGATTCACACAAACAAGGTATGCTATAGATATGCTGTCTTTTACTGGAAAGCAGACTTCCTAGAGATTTCCTGCTACTTTCTAATTCACAAAGAAAATTAGATGCACAAGTGAGTTGTATTACAGGAGTGGGGAGAGTTCAAAGATGATACTTCTGATTACAATCAGTCCATATTGTTAGCTGAAGAATTGAAGGCAGCTTAGCTTCAATCACGAGCAATGTTCCCATTAAATGAACAATGGTTTCCAAACTGAAAGTCTTACTGAAATACCGTTTTAAATATGTGAATCCTCTTAAAGTGAAATCCATTAAACTCTGTTAAATATCTTAAATATCTGAATTGACCCTCTGTTTACAATCACATTTTGTTTTCTATTCTCATTTACACTATACTAAACTAAAATCAACAGAGATATTATACATTCACATTAGTGTAAATGAATGAAGAATATGACCCATAAATGTTGCTTCCACTGGTAGGGTACGTCTACATTAGCACCCTAGTCCGAACTAGGGAGGCTAATGTAGGCATTCGAAGTTGCAAATGAAGCCCAGGATTTAAAATTCCACTAGTCCGAAGTAACTGCCCGCAGCTAAGTCCTTAGTTCGAATTAACTGTTACTCCTCATTCCAGGAATTGGAAGAATGCTGTCCTATTTATGGCCTCTTTATTCCTCTAGAAATGGACTGTATTTTATAAATTTGTATTTTACTGTATTTGTGAATACTGTATAAAGCAGTAAAATTACTCATATTTACTTGCTAACTGAGGATAATGAAACTTACCTTAATATGTAAAGCTTTTTTCATATCTATGGATGAAAAAGGCTACAGAAGAATTATTGTTCTTATATTGCTCATACAATCTGAAGAGTGGTTAATAAAACCTGGGTACATCTAGTTATTTCAATCGCTGTTAGGTTTTCAAAATTGTAGGCAGTAAAAAATAGAGAACACTGATTACCATGTTTTATTGGACTGCATTACAAACAGGTCATCATGTATAAACATAACTTCAAAATAATTATTTGTGCACCTCAAATATATTTTAAAAAAGGTTAAAGTCTTTTCTTTGTGAATTAGGAATAAATTGTCCACCAACAATGCATTTTAAATAGTTGCTGTTCTCTTAATTTTTAGTTGGGCACCAGAAAAACACATCAAAGGTATGTGGAATAAGTTGGGGAAGTGCATATGAAAAAATGCCATTTTCATAATTTGGTGAGTAAGTCACATACAGAGCACAAATCACAGGGAATTTAGAGCCCAATAAACCTCCAGTGAACGTACGTAGCCTTGGTACAAATTTAGTAATAATAGAATTGCGTTAGTTTATAGCATGAATAAATTTGTGTCAACTTACTGACAGTAAATATATGTCTATCTACTTATATACCCCTAATAATATGTAGCTACCATATACTCAGAGCCAGTCTTAGGGGTGGGTGAGCCGTGACCGCATTTCGGCCTGACCTCCCAAACTCCCTGACCCTTTATTTTTGCTGGACAAACTTTCCCCAGCGTGGTTTTTTTTTTTTTTTTTTTTTGCTTGGCCAGGGGCTGCCAATTGGTTAGGACCGGCCTTGCATATACTGAAACTAGAAGTATGTAAATATATCCAAGGGTATGTTAGAGTAAAGTTATGGTTGCTATATTGATCCATAATCTAAGAAAACTCTGGATTAAGTCTGCTATTCTGACTTTAATTTGCATAGATGAACTGTACTTCACCACAGAGGTGTAATAATTCTGATCCACATCTGGAACTTACATTGACTTCAATGGGTTTCATGCATGGATCAACTGTAGGTATGGGTCCTTATTTTTTACCTTCCATGCTTTTTTCAGTCTGAGTATCAATACCAATGGTAGTAATGAATTTATATTTCCTCAGAAAAAAAGGAAAGAGCCTATTACTGATGGGGGGAGGAGAAGAGAATAGCTGTGAATGTCACTGAATACTTTGATTCAAGCCTAGATGCAATATTTTCTTGGATTGTTATGTAAGCATCCAGACTGATAAATCTCTTGCCATATCTTTTGTGTGCAACATGGACAGATTCAGAGGACCAAAGTACCTTGGATTCTGTATAGATCAGATCACTATGATGGCTGACCTCATTCATACACTGCAGGAATGTTATGCCACTGAGCCATGTAAGACCAGTCTCTTTGCATACCAAGCATCCTTAAAAAAATGTTAATTTTAAAAGTAGTTTGAAAACTGTATTGAAAGAAAATGTCTATAATATTGGTTCACTAAACAGAAAACAGACCAGCTATTTTAAGAATAAATAATCTTGGACATGAACCTAGTATACAAAGATTAAGCCCAGAGAGAATTTTATATGTACTATATATAAAAAGCACCTGAAAATATTGGTTTATAATGGAGATGATGAAAACGACTGCCAGCAAAAACTGAGCTATCAATGTATTAACATAGAGTACCTTTAAATACCATATTACATACATGTACACATTTCTACCAGCTAACAGATAAACTTACCAATATTCTGGCTTGATGGCCATTGTGTTTTACTGTCCATTGCCTTGTGTCTTACTTTCTTTAAAGGGACTTTATTAAATACCAATGTTAGTACTAAAAACACACTCCTCTTATTTTCCCAGCATGAAAAAGCAGAGCTGGTTATGTTGGAAACTTTGAGAAATCAAACTTTTCTGAAGCATTGTACTGAAAAGGACAATACAATAACTGATATTTATAACATAAAAAAGAAAAGAGCTTTCTATGATCCTAAATAATTAAAATATATCTTTAACATGCATTAAATTCTTTAGGAGGAAGAGGAATTATGCTCCACATTGATCAGACAAACATTATCTTGTATCATTTTTCATACAGAACACTCAAGATTTCTGCAACACTGATGAGTGAATTTTGAAAGCGATTCACACTTTGGATCGCAGTCACATAGGTATAAATCTTGGGTAACTCCATTGTTCAATAGAGGTATTCTGGATTCACACAGTATTACAAATCAGGAATTTGAATTTGACTTATGTTCTATATGGAAAAAAATTACACTGAATCAATCAACCTAAAAATCCGCATAAGGAAAATATGCAACTTACCGTGTTTAATGATATGCATACCATTATAATACTAAGCGGAAGGGAAAAATAAGAGTTTAGGAAAATAATGCAGAAAGCACCCACCTTCCACATAGTTGTCTTCTGAAAGCACATAACAGGGAAGGAGAGAAAAGGAAAACATTCATTAAGCAGCATGCAGAATGGAACTTGCCATTGCATGTCTTCATCATGCAAGGCATTAACACAACATGCAAGTGCCCAATTGCTACCATCTGAAGGGGGAAACATAAGCACCAGGGAAGCAGTGTTTCTTCTACTCAACACAATTGATGTGATATAAAACAAAATAATCCCATTTTCTCAGTGAAGAAACTGTAAAGAGTCTTTTTTGCAGTTCTTTGTGAGGCAAGTTCTACTTAATCAGAAAAAAACTCTCATAGATTTTTAGTTAGTAAATAATTAAAAACTGCTGGGTAACTTGTGATAGGGATTCTAATTATATTTTCCCCACTGGAATTTTTCTTGGTTGCCTTAAAAGCCAGACTACATTAAACAGATTTGAGCTAGCTAATTTTGGTTTTACAATATGCTGTGAAACATTTAGAACAGCCTGATCCTGAAGTCTTTACTCACTCTAGTTCAGGGGTCAAATCTTGCAATCAAATATGGCTAAAGAGCCAGTGTAGCTGGCAGAATGAGCAAGGATTGCAGGATCAGGTCCCATTATTTATTGATATTAGATAAATCTTAAAATTAATCCTGATTTTTAGCCTAACAGAAGCAGTAAAAGGCATCGGGCCCACAAAATCTGTGTAGGGAGATGGGGACTTCAATTGACTCCCTGCTGGTCAGTCAGAGGGGAGAGTTGAAACTAATGTGCTGGTGCAACATGCTGCCCTGACTGGGAAGACCTACCTCCATATCCCTCGAGCTCTTCCACTGAGGAGGTACATTACAGGAGTATTTCTCTGCTGCCCATTATGGTCTGATTGAGTAGAGGGTGGGAGAAGGTAAGAAGGTACCAGAGGAAAGAGGAGAAGAGTGCGAGATGCACAGAGAAAAGCAGGGCAGCAAAGTTGATGAAAGGAAATACGAGCTGAGGAGTAACAAAGAGACAATGAGGGAGCCTCAGCTGGGAGAAGAGAAAAAATGGAAAAATGGGATTATTAGATCTCTCCCGGTCTCTGACTTGTCCTGGGTTCTGGGACTGCAGGATTTGACCAAATTCCATTATAACTGATTTTCAATACGAGTCTTTTTGATGGAATTAACTTTTAAATATCTCTTAAGATCTGATTTTGTTCCAGATCTAGTGCAATCTGGAACAAAATCAGGCTCAACAGTTTCTTTTACTAGTTCATAATCATGTTCTCTATATATCAATATGCTGCTAAATATTAAAAATCTGTTACGAATTAAATTGTATAAAATAAATTATGTTGTGTTGTTTTATAATCTGCTTTACATCAGCTCTTGAGATTTTTTTATACTTTAAATGATAATGTATGGGTTGTCACTATTTGAGAATATTCATTATGAACATCTAATATGTAGGGCTTTAATCCTGTCTGAATTCAAGAAGAGAAAAGACTTGACGAAATGTTCATTTTAATGTTACTTTAAAACACCTTCTCCATACATACATCAACTCACACTTGTAAAAACTCTGTGCTTGTAACTTCAGTTTGCCATGAAAGTGCAATCAATGGATAATAACCATTACATGCATTTAGGAAAATAACAGAATGAAAAAAATGAGCATGAATAGGAGAATTCTAGTTGTAAATTAAAAAAAAAAAAAAAAAAAGCAAGACCCACAAATTATGACAACCATAGAAAAGATGAAAAACTCCCCTTTCCATAAAATATTTTCCCTATCTCTGTGATCTATTATAATGATCTTTTGAGTGTTAAAATAATTTATTTTATAAAGAATTCTATTTAACACTGTAATTCCTTTTAGTGCAAACATTGTTTCCTTCCTATTAATTACAATAAAAAAGCAAATTAAAAAAAATAAATTAGTTACTAAAATCACATTATACCTTTAGTCTACTTCCTTGTAGTACAAATGTACACAAGATACCAATATTGGGATGAGTTGGCATTATTGTTTTAGCTCCAGAGATAAGTAGATACAATAAATAAACTTGCAAGTCAGCTCTGAATTTACTGAAATCAGATGACATTATGAAACTGATAAGCCTGGGAGTAGGCTTCATGTCTCTGAATTTATGACTTTGCTTTATACTAAGGTCCAGCTCCTCAACTGATACAAATTGGAATAATCTGAAGATAATCAAGCTACACTGATATATGCTAGTCAGGACTCTGGCCCTAAATATTTAATTGTGTGACTACCCTTTCAAAATAGTTGCACAGTAAACTTATTTAACTTATTTTTTAATAAAAGTTACATTAAAAGTGTTGAGTATTGTCCACTGAACAAAACAGTCTGGGATATATATATCACCAAAAGGCATATGGGATGGTAAACTCTTTTAAGAAATATTTCTTTCTCTCTTTCTCCACCAACAAATTTATCAGTAATTTCAAGCACACAAACAGGCTGAATTTTTAAGTTAAAGATTTTTCATATAAAGAGCGTAGTAAAAACAAAATGTGTATTTGTGTGTAAGGAGAGTCTTTAAACTGGTAAGATATTTTAAGGCGTTTCTATGAGTACACATATACACTGCACGGTTATTTTGGTATACCGGAGTTAGCTATTTTGGGATATACCCAGAATACATCCCAGCATCTACACAAGCCACCCATTATTTCAAAATATTTTTAGAAATAACAGGTGTGCTATTTCACCATTCCAGTAAACCTCGTGGCACGAGGGATTGAGGTTGGCTTGAAATAGCGCATTATTTTGAAATTTGGCACTGTGTAAACACACCAAATTTCAAAATAGTTTTGAAATAAGATATGCAATTTGTGTAGCACAAATTGTGTATCTTATTTCGAGTTTAGGGTTCTGTGTAGATGCACTCTATATTACATAAGCATTTTTATTGATGTTAATATTGTTATATTGTAACTGATCCTCATGTGGAGACCATTACACTGCTATCTTGTGATGTATATATCATACTAAATCTTTGTCTAATTTTCCTGATTCCCATGCTACTTTGATATGTGTGAGTGTGTATATACAAGGGTGTGTCTTTGTGAGTGTCTTTTAGAGTGAGACATTGCCTAGTGTTGTAAATACAATCTGAGGAATCAGAATATTCTAAATTCTAATTTTGGTTCTTACTCATTTTGGTGTTAGGCCAAACACAACACAAGTCTAATCATACAAGATGCAAAGTGTGTCCCATAAAGTGGTGAGCAACCTAAATTTCCAGTGAAGTCAGTGAACTCTGAGAGCATTTAGTACCATGCTAAAATGCTCAGCATCTTGCATAAAAGGACATGAATCTCTCTGGCCACTTTTCTCCATCAGTAAAATGGAAATAAAAATAGTCAGATTTACAGAAATGCTTAGAGGATGTCTCTGAATCATAAATGTTAAATATTATTCTCGGCAATATTACAATATTGCTAATTTCTACAATATAATATAAATATAGAGATTCACCCATACCTCCACTGGAATTAGAATTGTGTCATGTTGATATAATAATTTATATACAACAAAAGCAAGCCCAACACCATTAATGTCATTGGAGATATATCCACTTACCTTAGGTCTGAATTTAAGCCATTAAACTTTATTTAACTTAAGGTTTTACATCTACCTTCACATTAATACAAAGTGCCCTAACTCATTATATTAAGCCATATTTCTATAATATTGGTACTGCAGATAGGCAGCACCACAATGAAAGCTTCAGGGGGCACTGGACCTCAGATAAGCATAATGGCCTCTCCCGGAAACTGCAGACTGCATGCCACACTTCAGCAGTTCATTCCTCTCCATATCTAGCAAACCATGGTCTCACCTCATCTCCATCCATTTTGGGCCAGCTAGACTAGAAAGCTAGGCAGGTGCTGTGAAGACTAGCATCTTGGGCAGGAAGGTCTAAGCAGTCCAGACAACATTTCTATGGCAGACTAGAAAAATACTGCATTCTTTGGAGGAGGGAGAATGGAGGAAAAAGATAAAGGCCCAGTACAAATGTCAGCAAAGTGGATCCAAAGCTATTCTTCTCAAAGATTTCCATTTGTGCAATCAGATGTATTCCTCTGAGAAACAAAATCATGCTATTTGATCCAGGACCAACTCTCATCCTCATCAAGGCTTTTTCCATCAATAGCTATACAGAGAATGGGTATAATCTCTCCCCTCACATCCTTGCTTCAATTTATTATTTAGATTGGAGTATCTTCTGTCAGGACTTTCTTACTTCTGTCACAATTACAGTGACTATTGCACAGAACCATATACATAATTGGTGCCATATCTATACCTGTTTTTAAGGGCTGATTTTCTTCACATTTGCACTACTGTAAACCAGAAGTAATGGTACTGAAATCAGTGGAGCTTTACCAGTATAAAACTGGTATAGAAGAGAAGAATCAGGCCTAGTACAGTCAGATTTTATGCCCTCCTCATTCACATGTGATTCATCTCCCATCCTCACTCTGTCACATTTACCCACATTTACACTCATTCTAAGGGAATCCTTTGCTTCAAAGAACAGCTCTGGTGGGCTGCAATGGAGGCTTAAACACTGAGGACCAATCTCACTAGCAACTGGGTGTTGCAGGGGATGACTTTGCACATTCCCTATCAACTTCTTGTACAGCAATGGTTGAATCACATTTGCTCTACCGCTACAGGCAGGCTGCAGAGGCAGAAGGAGCTGAAAATACCTGTGATGTCAACAACGAAGAAAAAAGACAGATCTTGCAGGGAATCAGCCCACTATTCTTGTTGTCTCATAGCCCAGTCTGAACCAGATCACTGGCCCTTTATTGCTCTGTTCCTCTCTACATGCAAGAACTCTCTTTGGGCTTAGTCTGCTCAGGGTGTGTACTGTCTGGACCTATATATGCCACACAGTTATTTCACGGCACAAACACCCCAGAAATCCTGCTGTGAACATCTTTCTTGTAATTTAAAACACATTCTGCTGTCAACTACACTGCTATAAACCCAGACTTACCCTCACTGATGTAAATTGGAA